CAAGACGAACACTAACCTACCAACTGCACTTCCGCAAGCCCCAAGCTTCTTCCTCCTCCATAGGAAAGTCGTTGTGTTATCAATAACTCTATTAATATTCCATTTTTTTTTTCTATTTTTTGGTTGTCAAGTTAGTAATTGTTGAATACATTCTATGCACAGAGTAATTCTTACCGGTAAACAAATGGAAAGAAGAAGAAAATCATAGATAGTGTTCACACTATTATTAATTAGATTCTGTTACGAATAATACATGAACAAAATCACAATTTTTATTTGACTCGATATGAACGTTATGTATACTAATTTTAATATACTTGTATTATTACGTTTAGAAAGAATATGCGGTGTAAATTGATCAAACTTAAAAGATGGACTTTGTACAAGTAATACGATGCGTGTCATCTATTCAAAAAACAGTATGATAGAATACAATATCTTTTATATGTCTTTTTCATTTTGAAATTGACAATAAAATAATTTCATCGATATTTTCCAAAACTTACCTGTATGTAAGCATACCACGTGATCATATGTCAGCATTAAAGCAGAGATGAGCGACTGTGAGTAAATCAAACATAANGTATAGTTTTTACCTTCCAAAAAAAAAAAAAGATGGTGCAGCTGCTGTGATTTTAGTCATAGTCACGATGTAGAATTATACTCAACTATGAAGGAAAACTCTTCAATGAAGGTTGAAGAAGATTATCTTAATTACAACAATTTGCTTCAATATTTTGTTAGACACATAACAACTCTTTTGTTCAGTTGACCGCCGGAAAAGGTGGTAGCAATCCCAAAATCTAATCTGCGGCCGCCTCCATAGGTGATCAAGCTCACGATATTTGCAGTTAAGACATACACATGGTAGGAGATAGCTATGTATGCCAGCTACATATGAAATTAGTCAATTGATAAAGAACATTGTATGATCTTCTCGAATGCTATCCCCCTTTTTCTTCGACATTTTATTAATAGGCAAATTTGTTTCTAGCTGAGGGGCAGATTTAATATTTTGTGCACAAGACGAACACTAACCTACCAACTGCACTTCCGCAAGCCCCAAGCTTCTTCCTCCTCCATAGGAAAGTCGTTGTGTTATCAATAACTCTATTAATATTCCATTTTTTTTTTCTATTTTTTGGTTGTCAAGTTAGTAATTGTTGAATACATTCTATGCACAGAGTAATTCTTACCGGTAAACAAATGGAAAGAAGAAGAAAATCATAGATAGTGTTCACACTATTATTAATTAGATTCTGTTACGAATAATACATGAACAAAATCACAATTTTTATTTGACTCGATATGAACGTTATGTATACTAATTTTAATATACTTGTATTATTACGTTTAGAAAGAATATGCGGTGTAAATTGATCAAACTTAAAAGATGGACTTTGTACAAGTAATACGATGCGTGTCATCTATTCAAAAAACAGTATGATAGAATACTTTATATGTCTTTTTTGTTTTGAAATTGACAATGAAATAATTTCATCAATATTTTCCAAAACTTACCTGTATGTAAGCATACCATGTGATCATATGTCAGCATTAAAGCAGAGATGAGCGACTGTGAGTAAATCAAACATAAACCTTTAACCATTCTTGTCAATGCAATGAAATCTTTATCACAGCTAGGTACAGCAAATTGAAGGGCATTCTCGTAAATTTAAGACAACATGCAAATTGCCCAAACAAACCCTGAGAATTCGCATGTAATCATCAGACTCAGATGACTTCTTATTTCGACACGTGTGATCCAACATACATTTACCTCATGAGTTTTAAGGTTTCCTCTCTCTCTCTCTCTCTCTCTCTCTCTCTCTAAACCTGCTTTGCTTTTCACCACCATCGTATTGATCTACCCCCACCTCTTTCACCGTCTGATTACCACCAGTCCTCCATCACAACCATTAATAATGAACTAATGAAGTGAACCCCTACCAAGACATATACACCTCATAAACACTAGATCATTGTCTCATTAACTATCATTTGTTTAGGGTTATGTAATCATTGTTAGTGTCTTAAAACTCCACAAAAATAATCACACAAAATTCCACAAATATGATCACACACACACACACCCCAACAGAGTTGGTGTATTGACCCATAGGGTAATAGTACATATTTAGGAGATGGAGTGTGTGCATAAATATGGAGTGATACAAGGTAGGAAAAACTAAAAAGGAGGTGTAGAGAGAAAATTTGTGTTTTTGTGAGCTTCAGTGATAAGAGAAAGGAGAAAGAGGGAGAGACAGAGAGAGAAAATGGGGAGAGGTAGGGTTGAGTTGAAGAGAATAGAGAACAAGATCAACAGGCAAGTGACCTTCGCTAAACGAAGGAATGGCCTTTTGAAGAAAGCTTACGAGCTTTCGGTTCTATGCGATGCTGAGGTCGCTCTGATCGTCTTCTCCACTAGAGGAAAGCTCTTCGAGTTTTGCAGTAGCTCAAGGTATAACAAAAGAAAAGCAAATTTACTTTATTTGTATATATGTTATGTCTATACAGACTTGTGTATAGTCATATAGAAATTTACAAAAGCCTTGTTTTTTTTGCTTTCTCTCTCACCTTCTCTCTCTAGATTCTTTTTTTTTTTTTTTTCTTGTTTGGATTTGGCGTTTTAGATCTAGATAGCTTTGGCGTGAAAATCTTTTGCAGTTTCAAGTGTGTGACGAGCTTGTGAAAGATGGAAAGAAATAAGAAATAAGGAAAGGCTACTTGCTTCTTTTTTCTCTCTTTTTTGGAGCTGAGTTTTTGCCCTTTTTGTGAATGTATAGGTGTTTATAGAACTTTGTGCTTGTGGTGTTGTTAGATCTGCAAGTGGAAACCTTGAAAACAAGATCAGTTCTATGTATGTTGTATTTTGGTTGAATGATGTCTGCATTTGCTTCCAAGTCTCTTCCCTTTTGGTTCTTAATTTCTGATTTGATATTACAAAAGCGTTTGAATTTCTTCATGTTTAGTACTGCTTTCTGTTTCATTTTGTTCTGAAAACTAGTCTCTCATCAATCGCTCTAAAAGCTGCGCGATGAAGCTATCCCAGTAGGTCTTTCTTCCTTTCTTTTCTTTCTTTCTTTTCTTTTTTTCAAGGAGCATTGAAATACTCTAGATTGCACTTGCAAGGTTTGAAAGCTCATCTTTTTTCATCATCTTTATTTTTTTATTCATATTTCCCTTTTAAGTGTTTTGGTATTCATTATAAATTCTGCTCTTTACTGAATCCCTCTTTCTCTAAATTTAATGAATATTGCTGCCAATACAGATTTGGATTGCTTTCATTAGCAAATCCTGGTGTTTAGGCCCTTTAGGGTTTTGAGTTTCAACTTTCTAATTATCTGTGTTTTTTGTGTCTTATATATAACTTTCATGACCCTTCTTTGGCTGCTATTTTTGTTTCATAACCATGGAATTAGAGTTTCTACCTGAGCTAAACTCCTCTTTGTTCTTTGAACACAAATTCACAATAAAAGCTTTAATTACTACTTCTTTCTTCTCCAGAAGAAGTGGACTTGATGTCAATTAAGGTTATGGAGACCTTTACAACGCCGCTCTTGAAAATTTTTCCAATTGCTCCACCTGAGCCCCAATCATTCTTGGGTGTCTCTCTCTCTATCTTGATGTTTTCCATCCTGCCTCTCACTATAGGCCTAGGGTTTGGTTTTTCATGGAGTTAGGCATTCGTTGGTCATCCTTTCTTCTTGGAAATTCTTTCCATGGAACACTTTTCATAGTACAAGTGTGTTTTCATAATATNGAGTTAATAATTGTTGAATACATTCTATGCACAGAGTAATTCTTACCGGTAAACAAATGGAAAGAACAAGAAAATCATAGATAGTGTTCACACTATTATTAATTAGATTCTGCTAAGAATAATACATGAACAAAATCACAATTTTTATTTGACTCGATATGAACGTTATGTATACTAATTTTAATATACTTGTATTATTACGTTTAGAAAGAATATGCGGTGTAAATTGATCAAACTTAAAAGATGGACTTTGTACAAGTAATACGATGCGTGTCATCTATTCAAAAAACAGTATGATAGAATANGAGGAATGCTCTTGGAAGACAGGGGTCCAGTAATGGACCAGGGTCTTCACACATAATAACCTCCTAAAATGATTTAAATTAACCTACTTTCTCAATCTTTGAATTAATNCTTTTATATGTCTTTTTTGTTTTGAAATTGACAATGAAATAATTTCATCAATATTTTCCAAAACTTACCTGTATGTAAGCATACCATGTGATCATATGTCAGCATTAAAGCAGAGATGAGCGACTGTGAGTAAATCAAACATAAACCTTTAACCATTCTTGTCAATGCAATGAAATCTTTATCACAGCTAGGTACAGCAAATTGAAGGGCATTCTCGTAAATTTAAGACAACATGCAAATTGCCCAAACAAACCCTGAGAATTCGCATGTAATCATCAGACTCAGATGACTTCTTATTTCGACACGTGTGATCCAACATACATTTACCTCATGAGTTTTAAGGTTTCCTCTCTCTCTCTCTCTCTCTCTCTCTCTCTCTAAACCTGCTTTGCTTTTCACCACCATCGTATTGATCTACCCCCACCTCTTTCACCGTCTGATTACCACCAGTCCTCCATCACAACCATTAATAATGAACTAATGAAGTGAACCCCTACCAAGACATATACACCTCATAAACACTAGATCATTGTCTCATTAACTATCATTTGTTTAGGGTTATGTAATCATTGTTAGTGTCTTAAAACTCCACAAAAATAATCACACAAAATTCCACAAATATGATCACACACACACACACCCCAACAGAGTTGGTGTATTGACCCATAGGGTAATAGTACATATTTAGGAGATGGAGTGTGTGCATAAATATGGAGTGATACAAGGTAGGAAAAACTAAAAAGGAGGTGTAGAGAGAAAATTTGTGTTTTTGTGAGCTTCAGTGATAAGAGAAAGGAGAAAGAGGGAGAGACAGAGAGAGAAAATGGGGAGAGGTAGGGTTGAGTTGAAGAGAATAGAGAACAAGATCAACAGGCAAGTGACCTTCGCTAAACGAAGGAATGGCCTTTTGAAGAAAGCTTACGAGCTTTCGGTTCTATGCGATGCTGAGGTCGCTCTGATCGTCTTCTCCACTAGAGGAAAGCTCTTCGAGTTTTGCAGTAGCTCAAGGTATAACAAAAGAAAAGCAAATTTACTTTATTTGTATATATGTTATGTCTATACAGACTTGTGTATAGTCATATAGAAATTTACAAAAGCCTTGTTTTTTTTGCTTTCTCTCTCACCTTCTCTCTCTAGATTCTTTTTTTTTTTTTTTTCTTGTTTGGATTTGGCGTTTTAGATCTAGATAGCTTTGGCGTGAAAATCTTTTGCAGTTTCAAGTGTGTGACGAGCTTGTGAAAGATGGAAAGAAATAAGAAATAAGGAAAGGCTACTTGCTTCTTTTTTCTCTCTTTTTTGGAGCTGAGTTTTTGCCCTTTTTGTGAATGTATAGGTGTTTATAGAACTTTGTGCTTGTGGTGTTGTTAGATCTGCAAGTGGAAACCTTGAAAACAAGATCAGTTCTATGTATGTTGTATTTTGGTTGAATGATGTCTGCATTTGCTTCCAAGTCTCTTCCCTTTTGGTTCTTAATTTCTGATTTGATATTACAAAAGCGTTTGAATTTCTTCATGTTTAGTACTGCTTTCTGTTTCATTTTGTTCTGAAAACTAGTCTCTCATCAATCGCTCTAAAAGCTGCGCGATGAAGCTATCCCAGTAGGTCTTTCTTCCTTTCTTTTCTTTCTTTCTTTTCTTTTTTTCAAGGAGCATTGAAATACTCTAGATTGCACTTGCAAGGTTTGAAAGCTCATCTTTTTTCATCATCTTTATTTTTTTATTCATATTTCCCTTTTAAGTGTTTTGGTATTCATTATAAATTCTGCTCTTTACTGAATCCCTCTTTCTCTAAATTTAATGAATATTGCTGCCAATACAGATTTGGATTGCTTTCATTAGCAAATCCTGGTGTTTAGGCCCTTTAGGGTTTTGAGTTTCAACTTTCTAATTATCTGTGTTTTTTGTGTCTTATATATAACTTTCATGACCCTTCTTTGGCTGCTATTTTTGTTTCATAACCATGGAATTAGAGTTTCTACCTGAGCTAAACTCCTCTTTGTTCTTTGAACACAAATTCACAATAAAAGCTTTAATTACTACTTCTTTCTTCTCCAGAAGAAGTGGACTTGATGTCAATTAAGGTTATGGAGACCTTTACAACGCCGCTCTTGAAAATTTTTCCAATTGCTCCACCTGAGCCCCAATCATTCTTGGGTGTCTCTCTCTCTATCTTGATGTTTTCCATCCTGCCTCTCACTATAGGCCTAGGGTTTGGTTTTTCATGGAGTTAGGCATTCGTTGGTCATCCTTTCTTCTTGGAAATTCTTTCCATGGAACACTTTTCATAGTACAAGTGTGTTTTCATAATAACCTCCTAAAATGATTTAAATTAACCTACTTTCTCAATCTTTGAATTAATAATAAGTATTGCTAGCTTCTGTGTAACTTTACCTGTTGCTCCTTGACTCAACATGTTTTAAAGGGAATTTGTTCTAACATGTCAATATTTCAAAAAAAAAAAAAACATGGAGAATGCTCTAGGAAACGCTTGCATTCTACATACAACAGACTTCATCCATTCTCAACCAATTTTATACAACAGGGAAAATGTGACAATTGCAAAATATTGCCAGATAAGTGTAGCATGCATCACAAAAATAGGAGAGAAACAAGGTATAAATCAACCACACAACCTTGAATCCAAAACATTGTGGTTGATCTGCATTTTCATTATTTTTTTAGCAAGTAAATAAGTTTTTCCTTAACAATAGTAGATGCAGTCGTTTGATAATTTCATTCAACTTTGTAGTAAATTTACATGTATTCAACTCCAAATGCTAGATGCTGATAACTTTCTTAATGTTAGTTGCTGCTATAAATTTCTCATAGCAAATGAAGAAAAGAAGCAATCAGTTTCCAGAAATTAAGCCTACATAATAGCACAAATCATTTTGTGAACACTCACATTTTGAGCATGCCTCATATTTCTTTGATGAATAACCAGTCTTAGTTTTCTTTGCATGATTTTATTATTATCTTTATTTTTGTTGTTATTTAATTAATTTTCTTTTAGTTGATATACTAATAATTTTGTACAGTATGCTCAAAACGCTAGACAGGTACCAAAAGTGCAACTATGGAGCACCCGAGACAAATGTATCCTCAAGAGAAGCTCTGGTAAATGATCTTTTATGTGTAAATTTTTACATATATCATTGAATTTAGTATTGCCTACTCTGTGGACAAAATTTACGAACTCTTATGATAGATAAGAATGCATGTAGATGTCCATTTTCCTCTCTATCTCTCTCTTAAAATGGTAGTGGATCATCAATGTATTGCGTAGACTAAATGCCTAGATATAGGACTTTAGAAACGAAGGATGGAAAATCAGCATTAAATTTGAATGTTAGCTCCCCACCTTTCCATTGATGTCTTGAATATAGTTATTGGAATACATGACACAAAAAATGCTTGAACTGGTTCATCTTATTTCTGTTTTTTGGCTACAATTTTATCTGATGATTGAAACGCAAGTGTCATGCTAATTGTTATCAAAACATAATGAGTTTACCACACAAAGATTGATGTTACCCTAACTTTGCATAGTTCATATGACTGTGCAGCAGTCACTTACACTTAAAAAACTGTAAGAANAATATAGTTATTGGAATACATGACACAAAAAATGCTTGAACTGGTCCATCTTATTTCTGTATTTTGGCTACAATTTTATCTGATGATTGAAATGCAAGTGTCATGCTAATTGTTATCAAAACATAATGAGTTTACCACACAAAGATTGATGTTACCCTAACTTTGCATAGTTCATATGACTGTGCAGCAGTCACTTACACTTAAAAAACTGTAAGAGATTTTTTAATGGGCATCATGGCCGAATACTATATCATCAACTGAAAAAGGTGAATAATCATCAAAATATACTTTGAAAATAAAGGATGGTATAGAGAGAAAACTAAATAAGTTTCCATCCATTAAGGTAAGGTGATGCTATCCATATATAATTTCCATGGGGAAACTTGAAAACTCTAGAACTAAGTAACAGGACAAAGGTGGCATGGGACATCTGTCCGCTGCAGGAGTCTTACTTCTGAGCAAGAGGTCAGTTCAATCTCATTCAATGCAAATTGGAATACGATCCTCTTTTCAAATAATCTACTTACCAAAGAGCCTCAAACCTGTCTTCTGCCCATTTAGTGTTGTTTCCGTGGACATCTAGCAATTCTCACACTCTTTTTTCTTTTCCTTGGTTAGCATAGAGTCAGCATTTCGTCTCGAGCACAGATGCAAATCCACTACCAATCTACCATCCGATCCATGCCACCAATATTTGGGGTCTCTCTATAGGCTGCATCAAGTACATAAAATGGCTGCCCTCCATTTGACTCTTCGTGCCTCTCAATTATGTAGAAAGAAACAACACCACTTTCCTTAAGGTTTTTTTCATTTATGAATACATTCCAATCCCTTCTGAAACAATAACTCTTTTATGCTTCTTAGATCAATAGTGAATTTCTTATAACTTCTTCTGCCTGTCATAAAAATTGAGTCCTACATAGTTTACCTTCATAGCATAAATATTTTTCAAAACTTTCACAAATATTAGTGATGCAAAACGTGAAAGGCGTTACAAAAGGAGAACAGAAGAAGGAGATTAGGGCAAAAAGACTAATTTCAATAAATCAATAATCAAAGTGCCAAAATAACTACATCAACCCCTATATATAAGTGGATACCAAAATCCTAAATCGAGATTCTAATATAACTCTACTACCACTTAAGAAATAAATCCTAAAATAAGAAATAAAAGCAAATACATATAAAAACAATAATATTTTAATAAATTTCTAACTTCTAATCGTCAATTTTAATCATTATCCGACTCCTTTCTAATCCCATGGGAAGTACTTAACCGCATACTCCTTTGGGATGAGGAATCTATAAGCTATATTTCTATTATTTGGCCATAAATTCTTTTGAAAAAGTAATGGGCGACCATCCATTGCAATACTTTGCTGCCAAGTTAGACCTACTTCGTTTTTTAGGTCTTTGAGTTTCAGAATATCAACAAATTGGATGGATAGGATACATCCTTTATACTAGTCAAAATCACTTCCTTTCCAAAGTGGTTTCAAAATTTCTCTTGTTAATATACCCGGTGTAGAAACAAAAACAGAAAAAGAAAAGCGAACAAAGAAGAAGACAAAAGGATTTAAACCTAAAATTTAACATAACAAGCACACACAAATTTTTGAGCTTGATTGTTTTCATTTTCTTTTTTTCCACTTTAGCTTGATTATATAACATGTTGTGGATGTCTTATATTCCTAGTAAGAAACTAGTTTGAATTTTGTTCTTCATAAGAAGTTAAAAATGTGGATGTCTTGGAATTCTAGTTCAAGTAAAAGACTACTAGAAATCCCATTGTGTTAAAAGATAAAGTATTTTTAGTTTATAAATAGATTATATATCACTCTGATTCTTTTGGGATTTTGGCCCCCAGTTTTGGATCATCTATGTTTGATTGTATTATCTTGAATAAAGAATTTTGTGTAATCTTTCTTTGTTAATAGTGAATAATTGTCGTTGTGTTTCGCATGTGTGCCTAGGCTTTCAAACTGATCCACGAAAATTAATGATCTATATTTTTTTATTTCATTCCATTTATTTATTTGTAATCTTCGTTACTCACATAACATTACCTTGTGTTCTTGTATTCTTTTTTCCATTAATTGCACCCCTGAATTTGATTACTATGGTTCTAGGAAATAAGCAGTCAGCAGGAGTATTTAAAACTTAAGGCACGTTATGAAACACTGCAACGATCCCAAAGGTAAGAAAGAGAAATGGGATTCGCAATCATATATGAGAGAACAGAAATCTGGAAAATTTATCACCAACTAAATCTTTGACTGCGATGACCCTAGGAATCTTCTCGGAGAGGATCTTGGCCCTTTAAACAGCAAGGAGCTTGAGTCACTGGAGAGACAGCTCGATATTTCACTGAAGCAGATCCGATCAACGAGGGTACTTTACCTTGTTATTGCATACTCCATTAATGCAGCCATCAATCATCTTATAGTGGTGAACAATGGAGAAAATTAGCAGTGTGAATTTGTGAATGTTATTCCATTGTGGAGGATTAAAAATACAAAACTAATTATACTTCTATAACATCTTCATCTCGTATTCTTCTTTTTACAGACCCAATACATGCTGGACCAGCTCACAGATCTTCAAAGAAAGGTAAAAAAACCATTATGGAGCTTCTTCACATGCTATGCCCCATTTTTCCAACTTGTCCAAACCTTGTTGATTCCTATTCATACAGGAACATGCACTAACTGAAGCAAACACGGCTCTGAGACAAAGGGTGAGTAACATTCTGAATTNTCCTATTCATACAGGAACATGCACTAACTGAAGCAAACACGGCTCTGAGACAAAGGGTGAGTAACATTCTGAATTGTCAGGATGCTTGTTTGATAAAGGATAATAGTCGTTTAACACATTTAATTAGTACATTATTTTATCATTGTAAATGCTGTTCACATATCTCCTACTAAATCTTAGACTTTTTTTTTTCCCAAAACAAATCAACACTTTATTTCATTCTCCAAAAGCTATTTCAATGAAGTAAAAGCAGACAGCCTGCTCTTTAGAAAATTTAATCCAAAATCTAAAAAATAAAGAGTTGCTGAAAAAACTCAGCAGCCTTCTATCAGCCCCCACGATTATGATTACTAAATCTTAGACTTAGACACTTGCAATACTGTATGATAATGTATCATTGTGGCACTGCTAAACTGCCCTATATATTTAACTGCATGTCTTGAGTGGGTTGACTTGTCACAAATAATGTACCTTTGAATCAGTGCCGGCCCATGCACTAGGCCATTGCCTAGGCCCCAAATGGGACAAAAATTTTGGGGCCCCAAATTAAATTTTTATACAATTTTAATAGATTTAATTTTTGGGTTTAATNCATTGCCTAGGCCCCAAATGGGACAAAAATTTTGGGGCCCCAAATTAAATTTTTATACAATTTTAATAGATTTAATTTTTGGGTTTAATTTAAGAACTTAATGCATTTTTACCATTAAATTAGTAAGAAAAAATATCATTGAACAAGTTTACTAAAAATCAAATAACCATAATTTATTAAGTGTCAAAATTAGGTCCCTAGATTAAATACAAGTAATAGTATTGTAAAATTTTTAGAATTTCTTACAAAAACATTTAGGACCCTAAAGTTTAACCTTATGTGTTTTATCTTTGTCAAATGTTTATGGTATATGAAAAATATGTGTTATCACCTAATAACATATTTTTCTATCTTATTATCAAAAAAAAAAAACTGTATAATTCATTGTCTATCAATTAATAGTTATAAATTATAACTTTATATTTTTTTAGATTAAATTTGAGGTTACTTCAAATTTAAAACAGATTTTTACTTAATTATTTTTTTAAAGCATATAAAAATGACTATAGAATAGAGTGAGTAGAAGTATCTCACTATTTGAAATTAATTATAACTATAATTGTCTTGCTAAAATTTCTTAGTTAAAACATTTAGATGATTATCTGTAATATTAAANATAGTATTGTAAAATTTTTAGAATTTCTTACAAAAACATTTAGGACCCTAAAGTTTGACCTTATGTGTTTTATCTTTGTCAAATGTTTATGGTATATGAAAAATATGTGTTATCACCTAATAACATATTTTTCTATCTTATTATCAAAAAAAAAAAACTGTATAATTCATTGTCTATCAATTAATAGTTATAAATTATAACTTTATATTTTTTTAGATTAAATTTGAGGTTACTTCAAATTTAAAACAGATTTTTACTTAATTATTTTTTTAAAGCATATAAAAATGACTATAGAATAGAGTGAGTAGAAGTATCTCACTATTTGAAATTAATTATAACTATAATTGTCTTGCTAAAATTTCTTAGTTAAAACATTTAGATGATTATCTGTAATATTAAAACATGTTTCACATATTCTAATACCATTTAACTTACACAAATTTTAACTTTTACATTTGTTATGAAAAAAAAATTTATTTTGTTAACTAGTTTAAATTTCCATTCTCTTTGTCATTGTCTTTAATAGAAAATTAACTTAATTATATTCGGTCAAGGATTCGACTTTTGCTAATTGAATTTTAATGTATAAAACTTGAATTTAAAATTTTAATTAATATTTTTGAATCTCAAAAAAGAAAAAGAAAAAATATTAAATAATTTAATTATTGACAATTATTTATATTATTGTAAAATATATTAGTAGGGCCTAATTTAAAATTTTTGCCTAGGGCCGGCCCCCAAGTATGTTGGGCCGCCCATGCGTAAGTGGATAACAATATCTTCTCTTCGGTTTATAATTTTTTGGTTGATGCTTTGCAGCTAATGGAAGGAAACCAAGTATGTTCGCTTCAGTGGAATCCTAGTGCACAAGATGTAGAGTATGGCCAACAACCAGCTCAAACCCAGGGTGATGGCTTCTATCATCCATTGGAGTGTGAACCCACATTACAAATTGGGTAAGACCTCCTGAATTTTGATTCCGCAAAAGCATCAATCTTTGTATTCAATTCTCTGCTCAGGTGATATCTACTCCAAACATAGGCCCCGTAACAAAACCCAGAGACTTATTGAAAAACAAAATAAATTGAGTAATGCTACACTGACCAAAATTTGGGACCAAATTTAGAGCTCAAATGACATGACAGTTGATTATTTGAAATTTTTATTGGCACCCAAATGACATGACACCAATCAAAGAAACCCAAGTCAACTGCCATGTCATTTGGACTCCAAATTTTGGTCAGTCTAGCATTATTGAAATAAATTACTCTTNATGACACCAATCAAAGAAACCCAAGTCAACTGCCATGTCATTTGGACTCCAAATTTGGTCCCAAATTTTGGTCAGTTTAGCATTATTGAAATAAATTACTCTTGTAAAAATTACTTGATCCAGCAGATAACTTCGATTTCGTACTGTATGTGTTGCATTTGTGATGCATTGCTTCAACTTGAAGGTAAAGTTTTTCAAGTATATCCCCACCTAAAATTATGATGAAGTGAATAAATTTCAATGTATGTCAGTGCTCAAAAAATACTTGAAGGCTGAAAGATTATGTGCTAAATTCACTAATTTATCGGAACTATATTATTGCCCGTCAACTTGACAAGTGCTTTTTTGTTCATTTGACACTTCCCTTTTGTGCTTTTATGCAATAATGCATAGAGTAGCAATGCACAGGGACTGTGAAAAACTCATTGAACACATTTTTAGTGACATATTAATGTCAGTTACCCAGGCAAATTAAGAGAGAAAATGAAGGATGTTTGTATCTCCTGTTTCAGATTCCAGCATGATCCAATAACAGTGGCAGAAGCGGGCCCCAGTGTGAATAACTACATGGTGGGATGGTTGCCATGACAATAAAAGAGCAGGACCAGCCATGGTATGTTTTCTCTCATGAAAATGAGCAAATCCACTATATTTTGTGTAAGTTATATATTGATGATAAAAACATGTAATGTTGCTATCCCTATAAGACAGTCTTATTATAACTCCACATTGTGGGAGACTATAAGCTATGTTTGATGCGTGCTCAACCACTGGATTTTTTTCCGCTTTCTTTACTCCTATGCAGATCTGCTTGTAAAGAGAACTTATGTGACAAGAACTCGAACATTTTTATAATTGTGTGTTTCAAAGTTTCACCTCCCTCTTTAGGTAAAAATGCAAGTACGCTGTAGACAGTCAAAGATGAAAGGGGCAAAGAACAGAGTCAAAACTGCTCTTATGTGCACTAGATCTTCATTTGATTGTTTATCACGCAGCTTCATCAAAGTGGTCAAATACATACAAACTTTTACTTCTGATTTCTTAGTATGTGCACAAATGGAATTTAGAACGAAACAAAGACTAAACCTTAAATCAAGTAGTCGNTTGATTGTTTATCACGCAGCTTCATCAAAGTGGTCAAATACATACAAACTTTTACTACTGATTTCTTAGTATGTGCACAAATGGAATTTAGAACGAAACAAAGACTAAACCTTAAATCAAGTAGTTGCATGAAATTTGGTGAGATCCATATACAAGCTGTTTGAGACCCAATTACATTCAGACTGGGACAAAGCTACACACTGTATCATTTACGAGTACCCTTGGCATTAGGATCCAAGGATCCCATTTTTGAATCTCTTTTTGTAGACCAATAGAGCCCAATGTCCTACTTGCAGTTCAAGAATTTACCTCAAAATCTAAAAACTGATGCAAAACTGGTATCTCCCAACTGGTTGCCTAACTTGATTGATTGATAGATTGTAATTAGCTCATTATCATAGCTCAGCATACCATTATCACAGCTCACCTTAGCTAGCTTTTGTTTTGTTACTCTTGTTTGGGGACTTCCCCTCCTAATGTACATCAGATTTTTTTATCATCTATGAAAATTCTACCTGCTGGGGGGGAAAAATCCGTGAAGATGAATGTGCTTTGTTTCAAATGGGTAATACAGCTACAGCCTCAATTCAACTAGGCCTTTATCTATTTGGGATCCACTACATTGTTGTAACCTAGTTTAGAAAATCTCTGAATTCATTAATGTTCATTTTGAAGACTGGAATTGATTACGAGAGATCTGCATGCTCATTTATGATGAGTTTATAACCTTCTTGCTAGAATTCAAGGAAATACGCTGGCAGGCACACATCTAAACCCTAAGCTCCACTGAACAACATGGCAAACTCTAACAGCAAAATCAAGAAAAACGAAAAATAAACAAACTAGAAAGAGATTTTGTTGTCAGACATTAATGTGAAATCCGAACAACCTAAACCCTTTCTTCTCCAGATTGGCTGCTGGACTGGATCCCACCGGCTTCTGATCTTGATCAAACACTTCTTTCTCGTCCTTGGCCAGCCCAAAATGAGCATTTTGTTCCAATCTAAGATGCAGATCTACCTCCATCTCCACCATCCCACCACTGCTTGTGGCATCTTTGTAACCAACTTCAACTATCCAATACATCTGACTGTTTGCTCCTTCTCCGCCTTCACACTCGTAGAAAGAAACAACATCATTTGCTTTCAAATTCTGTTCTTTAACAAATCGATTCCAACCTCTTGTGAATACATAGCTCTGGCTGCTCTTCCAATAACAATATCGAAATTTCCACAACCTCATCTGCCTATCATGGAAACCTAGCTGCACATCTTCTGTACCTTCATCAATGTCAGGGAAGTACTTGACTGCATATTTCTTTGGAACTACGAATCTATTAAGCTTCCCTACATCACTGGGTGTTAGTTCCTTTTGAAAGAGTAGTCTGCAAGAACACCATCGATTACCACACACTGTTGATAAATTGAGACCTATTTCCTTTTCATGCCTTCGATTCCTCAAAAATTCAGCAAATTTTGATGGATATGATCCGTCCTTGATCATGTTCAAGATTGCTTCCTCGCTAAATTGGCTTTGGAATATTGGTTCTTGGACCGTGTCATTAGTCCAAGGGAAGTTTCGGTGAAAGTCTCCACCCCGAAGCTTCATGGCTGCACTATCATAAGCCATGGCTGCATCCTTCTCTGATTTAAAGGTTCCAAGCCATACCCTCTGGTGGTTTGCGTAAATCTGAGCCCCCCAGTGTCCATTGTGCTGTGGAACGACACCTTTGAATTTCGTCCACAAAACATTATGGTTAGACATCGATCGATTGCATGCAAGAGTTGAATAACTGCTGCGGTTAGAATCTGAAGATTCTTCTATGGCATTTACTTTTGCAGTTAAAACCATGCTTGACATCTCTTCTTCCATTGGAATCTGCGAAACAATTACTTTTAATCTATATGCAGAAGACCATTATACCAGAATGAAAATATTATTGGTTTAACAAAGATAAGCAGAGAAACAATTCAGAAGACANTCTGCGAAACAATTACTTTTAATCTATATGCAGAAGACCATTATACCAGAATGAAACTATTATTGGTTTAACAAAGATAAGCAGAGAAACAATTCAGAAGACAAAAAAAAAAATAAAGTAAACTATTTAATAGCTGTCAATAAATAGACATGAACAGCTCCTTTATGAGAAATATATAACAAATAACCAACAACAATCAGTCTAGAAAATAGATTAAATGCTTCAATCCAAAACAGCAGATATCATATAAAAATAGATAAAACTCTAACTAACAAACGATCAGGAACTGCTGGTGACCAGATTGGACTTACAGGCTTGCAGAGTCTTTTTTGTGTTGAAACGTTCCACAGAAACTACAAGCAACTTTAGGATTATGAGGCTGAGAGAATTAAATATGCAAAAGACCGACCATTAATTTTGGGAAAAATTTTAGGAAAAAATCTGTCAATTAGAGATTTTCTGAGGCATCAAAAAGGCAGGTTTAATATGGGGGTTGGAAAGTTGAGAATTTAGAAATTCTTGACAACAAGTTAATACCAAAAAATTATTACACTTGTCTTAAATTAGGGAATGAGTTAGTAGAAATTTGAACAAACAGCTATGAGTAATTTTTCAGGTCCATCTTCATTCCATTTTTAGTACGTAATCTTATCATATACTACATGCATATTTCATCAGAATATTTTGCAATTCCATGCATTGATGCAGCATCATTAATGATGGTGTTCCAACTTTCAACATCACAGGGCTTATGTTGGTTGATCGAGGGTTCAGATTTTTTCAATTACAGTATATTTTTACTTAGTTTTACTTAATAATAAATTTTTCACTCATTATTTACTAATAGGTCATGTGTATTAATAGTAGAAGATCTGTCATTCATAAAATTAAGTGAAAAATATAATTGAGAGAATCTAAATTCGATTGACCAATACATCATAATGATTAATATTAGGAAACATCTGATTCTTCGTAATGAACTTACCTTTTTCAGGCTCCCCCCTTCATAATGACTGACCCAGATTTTCAGCGATGGTATATTTGTTGCAATGTCCTGCTTTCTATTCCAAAGTTGCAGCATCGGCACAGAATAAATAATTGGAGATAATTAAACAAGTATAGGAGACAATAATACGTGGAAAACGTTTGAATGGCCATTGAATAGCGGAACAGAGAAACACCTCTGGAAGTGTATATATTGGTTATAATATTAATAGTCGTTGGACATAAAAACCAACACAAGAAAAAGTAACTTGACAACAACAATTTACACCTAGTAGTCAATTTGTAATAAATTTAGGATTTTAAGGGCCGGTACCCTTTTTAGAAATTATAAGGTAAAAAAGTACCACTTTTAAAAATATATATCAAAAAATACACAATTCTTAACAAATCTCTAAAATACCTTTTTAATAAAATGGGAACCGATTCCTATATTTTTGACTTCACAATCGAAATATCACGGATATCAACTGTTACCTATAAAATTCTTTAAATATCGCCGAAACCTCCATTATTCCAAGATTGATAAGAAAGCTTCCCTAAAACCTCCATTTTTTTTCAAAACGTCCTAATTCCAATAGATTTAGACGATTTTCTCTT